GCTTTCCATGGGTTTCACTATTCAGTGATAGGACGATACATTCTATGTATTTGCTAATTTCCTAACTAAAAAAATATAAGCCTTTTTTGACCATAAAACGTTATATAAGTCTTTTTGACCGTAAAAACGTTTGCCAGGAATAAAGTTATTTTAAAGAAGGAAGGGCGCCACGTTTGCTTGTGAGCAATAAAACGTTTGCTTGTGAGCAATTATGTAGTCCAAAATCCCTTTCCCAGGAAACCATAAAACCCAGTTGATGGGAATTCTCGTCATTATCATCCTAAGCGGGATCAAAACGCTGATTTCAAACCCTAAAATGGACAACGAGGACCACCCCCCCTCTTGGAGGCTCAATAAAAAGTTACCAAAAGGCACAAAAAATGTTCCCTAACACCCTTAATCCTTAGTCGCTTGCCTCGGTTATTGCTTGGCTATGGCACTGGTGAGGTCTATAGTTTCTTTGATTGTCTGCATTTCAGCTTCCACTAATATCCATAACTTGTCTTATTTGCCATAAATCATTCTTGCACTTTTCTTACTTTTTTTCTCGCTAATGATTAAACATGGCATCTGTTAATGTATTTCTAGTATGCAGGATTCTACTGGAAGTCATCCAGCAGCGCCAAGTAATGCTACTAATCATTCACAATGGAAAAATGTAAGCTCTGACTCCAGTGAAGATCACTGCTGGGGAAATATCTCAAAAGAAAATGTTTATAGAATATATCTGGTAAGTACTGTTAGTAATGTTTGCATACCGATTTCTCTCTTTCAAAAATTTGTTCGTGTACCTCTTATATTTCAAGATAAAAAGAACTGTATTGAATGCCTTTCTTTATTGATTGCACGAAAACGCTCTTCACGATTCTCAAAGTACAGCCTCCATTGTGGTTTCCGTATTGTAATACAAATTAGCAATGAGGTCGTCTTCCAATTGCAATGGGCAAACAACTTGGAATTTTCAGCAGTTTTGTGATATGTAGAGGATATTACATGGGCGGTCGGAAATACGGATTTTAGCTTCGATTGTTGAAAAGATCTCTCACGAGTGAGCGTAGATTATCCATGTAAGGGAATTATGTTTCAAAATAATTTGATAGCTTACTAGGAATTCGCCATTCAAGGTAAAGAATTGCAATGATCTATCTCCAGTCCAGCACGACTATGTTTCAGAAAAGATATGACAAATGAACAAATCCGAACTGCGGTGAATTAATGCAATGATTTGTGATCGTCGTAGTATAGATAATCTAAGCGAATATTATTACTTATTGATTATAAATTACATCATCATTTGTTCCTGAGTACTAAGTAATACTAGTATAGATGGGTTCACCCAATAAAAAATGACCGCTCGCAAACATAGTTGGCTTCATAGCTCAGTTGGTAGAGCACTGAACCGCCATCGCAGAGGTCATGGGTTCAATTCCCGTTGAAGSCCGAATTTTTTTCGGGAGATCCATACATTTWTTAATAATCGCTTTGATTGTTATCTACACTGCGATGATCTCATAAATCATTACATTTATATTCACCGCAGCTCGGACCATTACRTCATCATCGACATATATTGGATTTATATTGGGATCCGTCATATGACCCAATGGTCTGAGCCTCAGCCTCATTGCAATAAGAAATCATGAATTATTCATGCTTTCTATATATGGTATAGAACTAGTCGATCGTTCACAAATTGCTGTTTCTTCTAATGTTCTTCTAATGCACTCTTGAAGGATGCTGGCTAATTTGCATCAATGTGAAAACCGTCATGGCGGCTATATCGTGAATAAGACCTATTCGGTGCTAAATTTCTTAATAAAAGTTCAATAGACCTAATAAACTCTTCCACCCAATTCAAACCATCCGGGAGTAAGTTTCATTGTTCGYTGTGTTTTCATTTTCAGTTCAATTCTTAGAAACAAAAGTTCTTTTTCTCACAGTATTTCAATTGGGTGGTAATGTRTATGGCAACGCGTTAACCAATTAGGTCTATTGCACCTCTAGAGACTGTTCGCGTTATTGTAGGGTTAGTCGCTCTAATAGCATTGCTTCTTGTTCACAATTACTGAAATGCAAAAGGGGAGTCCGTATAATCGTCAGAATCTTTTCACTCGCCTCAAAACGCGTTTTTGCGTTGKACAAGTTTCCTCAAGGAAATTAACGACATTGTTTTGGGCAGCGACGAAGTTTTGGGGTGACTGGGACAATTTTATAAACAAAATGGTGGGAACTAGCGCTAAACTAGTGTGAGCTGCGTCGGTGTTTCTAAAGAAACAGTTGTGCAAAAAGACTAATTTTAACACCGTAAAAAAAGTAGGTGAATTAACCTCCGACGAAGAATTAACGTCCGAAACGCCAGTCAATTGTTTCACCTACTTTTTACGGTTTTAAAATTTATCTTTTTTTACAACTGATTATATWAACACTTGAGCTTCTGCCTAGTGTCCATTATATATATTCGCCCAAAACGTCCCAACGCTTTTTTTATTGTTGTTACATCCCTTGAGGGGTATTAGTTTAAGTGTGGTCTACCTTGTTAAATGTACGTTATTGCAACCCTAACATCCAATTTGAAACGTTCTATTTCAGTTGATGTTCACCGTGACACTTGGTCCATTTGCCTTCTTTAATGTACAGAAAACCAAATATCTGCAAATGCTGACTACAGTCATGAGATGGCTAGGTTTGTCTTTTTATCAGTTTCGCTTCATTCACTTTTTTGTCATGATCATAGTAGTCTATAACTCTTCATGTGACTATCAGTSAACAGCTCCAAATGACAGGTTTACCACATCGAATCATACACTGATCTCAACTTTTCCAATCTTTTTTCCTTCAGCAGTATARCGTACAAAACAAATTGTATAAAAAAGTATTACTTGGCTGTTCTACTTGGACAGTTTATTGATATGTGCATACTTTCTTGCAGCATTCTCCATGGTCATCGTGCTGGCTGTACTTCGAATATTCAATGGCAAAGGAAACAAACATGTTAGCGCKGCAAATTTCAGCGGAGTACCCAATCTGTTTGGGGTGTGTATYTATGCTTTCATGTGCCAGCATTCTCTTCCATCGTTCATCACTCCAATGAGAGACAAGTCCAGAGTAACTTGCATCTTTTCCTTGGACTTTGGGATTATTCTACTGTTTTATGCTGTCATGTCATTCTCTGGAATGTTTGCTTTCAATGACCTGAATGATCTGTACACACTTAATTTCCAGAACTACACTCCGTTTATCCATTACTTCCTTGCACTTTTTCCAGTTTTTACATTAAGCACGAACTTTCCTATCATCTCTATTACTCTCAGAGATAATCTGAAGAATCTGTTTTATAGAGAAGGTAGACAATATTCGTGGACTGTGGACAGACTGATCTTTCCTATAGTCACAATCATACCTCCTATTGGAATAGCCTTTGCTACACAAAAYCTAGAGATGCTTGTAGGCATCACAGGCTCATATGCTGGTGCCGGTGTACAATATGTCATTCCTACTACGCTAGTCTACTGCGCAAGAAAAGAAATCAGRAGTTTGATTACTACGTATAACAATAAGCATAGGTCGATATTTCGACAGAGGTCTTGGTTATTCTTCGTGCTGGTGTGGACTGTTATTTGTGTATGTTTTGTATCAGCCAATCATATCATTACTAAGAAGTAATTTCGCGCTTTCCCAGCAATTGAATTARGTGTCTAACCTCTTCGAAATTATTACCATTTTCACCCTACCCCGCCTCCCAGTAATGTTTTAGATTTTTCTATGCATTTCGGGTGAAAACGGTCATCGATAACATACTTCATTCTCAATATACAAGTTCTATTTGCAATTTTCAGTTCAATGATAACAATTATACGTAATATAAAAATATGAGCGGGGAGAGCTGTAAACGAGCAATTTCAAATCCCATAATGGTCTCCCGCTCATATTTTATATTCATTATTGCTTATCAAATTCCAACATAAGCTAAAGCATATTTTGCTTAGAACCTAAAGATAAAGAAAATCAAAGTTAAAGTCGTATGCAAATCAGGACAAATCTCTTGCTCATAAAGATGCGGTTGATCTTCCATTGTGTTTACCTTCTGAATTATTAATGATTTGATAATAAAATTTAGAATGAAAGCGAAGAAGCGAAATAACATGAAAAATATTGTTTTTGCGCTGCATTAATGACAAGTTGATTTGCATATTAATTTTAAATAAACATTCAATTCGTTGATACAATTTTCTTTG